TGGTTGGATGGATGATAGATGGATATGGATGGATGGATGGATGGATGATGGATATGGATGGATGGATGGATGGATAGATGGATGGATGAATGGATTGATGGATGGATGGATGGACCATGATAGTATTTGATCTATTATATCTCCCAGAAGTTTGGCCTCTTTAACTTGATCTCTCGGTTGTCCATTTAAAGAACTACGCAACATTTGAGTTGGTCTGACTGAATGTTTAGAGTTCATCACAATACATTTTGTTTTTGACACATTCGGTCTTCACCTGTTCTCTTTCACTCACTCAGAAACAACCAATAATTCTTGTTCTAGCATAGAAAAGGCAGAATTATCTTCAACCCGCATATTATTTTACATGCAGTACCGTAGTTGTCCTGAAGGTGGCAGCAGAGGTCAACATTACACTAGTTAGCCAGTCTTTCCTAATATTCTATTGAAATTAGAATAAAGGAAGGCTAATGAACCTATTTAACATGGCTGAAGGACAGTTCATACAAGGAACTTTTAAATCTGAACAATTTAAATAAAGTATATCAAATTTTACATATCATATGGTAAATCTGGTCACATTTTAATCAAAGATCTCTGCACTAACTCAAAGTGTGTTGTAACTTACTGCTACCACGTGCATCTTTTTGTCTTTGTTTCCACCTCTCATTGAAAAGAAAAGAGTTATTGCAGGAACACAAAGCTTTAATATTTTTTAAATCTAAATTGGCTCTCAGTTGAAAAGCACGCTCAGTTCTCCTCAGTCAGCTATGAGAGAAGACACGTTTTAATTTTTTTATTTATTTATTTGTGGCCAAATAACTACAAACAGAATAGAACTAGAAGGGTGTTTGGAGGTTTTTGTCCCTGTGTTCATTCCTGGTTCCCACGCTCTCAGACTGCTCGTTTCTGTGGGAAACGATAAGGCAGCGCACTTATCACAACCAAGTCAGCAGTAAAACCCAAACTCCACTCAGAGCTACGCTGCAGAACTGAACGATGGACGACATCATACGTGGTTTCTTAGAGAATTTACCCCCAGTCATTCTTAATGAATGCAGTTAACATATGAATCATATAAAAAAACATGTCTGAGTTGAGTTTGCTCATTGGTGATAATATTTATCACTCGCCACTGAAAGCAAAAGGGTGAACATGTTCTTGCCTTTGTCCGTCTGTCTGTCTGTTTGTTAGCGAAACATCTTATGAACCAGTAGACAGACAATCATGAAACTCCCAGTATGTAATCGATGGTTGTTGTATTTACAAATCATTATTTTTTACAGTGAACCCAGTTGATTTTGGCCACAACCACCAACCTTTGCAGACACCCCTTTGTAAAGGTCAAAGAAACAGTTTACAAGACAGTGGTGAGACCAGCTGTGCTGTATGGTTTAGAGATGGTGGCATGCACATCTACAGCTGATTACATTTTGGTTAGAATTCAATCCAAGCTGGTTCCCACAGCTTATCGTCCCCATGAAGCATATTAAAGGCTATAACTCAGGTAATTTTGCAACTATTGAGCTCAGACTTGGTGTGGTAGTACCTGACAGTCATCCTTAACACATATAAGAGCTAATGCAAGTTCTTATGAGACTGCCTAAAATGCCATTTACAGGGTTAGAGCTAAATGGCTACAACTCTGTTCCTTCTTCTTAAAACAACAGCAGATATGTATTTATTTAAAGAATGCTACCCCTTTATTTAAATTAATATCATTATAATATAATTTTTTTTTATCAGTTTATACATGTCAGGTAATAGTTATGGTAGCTCACAGCGACTAATGTTTCAAGCAACAGACTTTAACGAGACAAAGAGGCAAAGGGCGTTCAAATGGGTGCATCCATCCATCAGGGTCAAACTGGTGTTCCTTGCAGGTGAATGCACATGCAGAACAGTGGATCCACTTCCATTTACTCACTACTATTTACCCCCGGCGTCCTCTGAGACTATTTGGCATACTCCCCTCTTTACGGCTCTCCTCCGTCAGTATTTGATGGTCACTTTAACAGGCATCATCTAATATTTATTGACCTGCTCTGCTGAGAGTTGAATGTCGGGTCTGTGCTGTGCTTAAGCTACCAGAGGCTGGTGTAGAATAAAGCTGTGATGGCAGTCAGGCTCCCACACTGGGAGCGCCTCCTTCAGTCCTGCTTGTATTAGTCTCCAAGGTATTTATTGTTTATTGTATAATACAGTTATAGTCAAGCAGATTCATAGGTTTTATCACAGCTGTTTATTTTTCTGTCAGCATTGCAAATCTAAAAGACCAATTTTAGCAATTTTGCTACAGATTTGGATGTTTTTTCTTAAAACAGAGCACTGGAAACTAGGCCGGTTGCGATAAACAATAAATCAATTAATCGCTTGATGAAAATTGTCGACCTCATTTTCATTTATCTGTTTTATTGTTTCTTTGTGAGTCTCTCTTTCTACTGAAGACACTGGATGACAAAAGGCTCAACTCGTGTTCTTCACTGACCCCTCCCTTTGTCTTTTCTCTTTAAAATCCATTTTAACAATCCAAAATCACGTTTTTGGATTGTTAAAAGCAGCTAAGCTACGAGCTAAGCTAACAGGCCGACCTCAGGAAAAAACCTCCGTCTTGTCAAAGCTCCAAAATTCACAATCTGTACCTTTGTGTAAAAAGTTGTTTTTCTCTGCAAAAAGAAGCTGAGAACTTGTTTACTGATTTTTTTTATTTGTTAAAAGCTTTGTGTGACGAATGCTACGCTAAAGAGCTCAAACCACACCGAGCGTCCGTCATTTTGAGAACCGAATAGAGACAGCCCATGTCACGTGGATGCAAATGGTGATGTTTACTCTTTGGTTCAGTATGAATGAACATTTAACGCATCAGTCAAAAATTGCATCATGACTAGAAAAAAAACTAAACCTAAATAATTCGCAGGACTGGCCAAACTATGAAAAAAAGTGTGACTTATAGTCCGGAAAATACGGTAATTCAGTTGTGCCAGAGAGAGTTAGTTTGTTCTCACAGGATGTGCTGTAAGTTATCACTGTTCCTGATGCCACACTTCAGACTGTAAGTTTTAACTCCACACACACATGAGAGCCTCACGTGTGTGTGTGTGTGTGTGTGTGTGTGTGTGTGTGTGTGTGTGTGTGTGTGGGTGTGTGTGTGTGTGTGTGTGTGTGTGTGTG